CTCCTCCCCCTGTCCCCCCCCCCCCCCCCCCCTTTTTTTTTAATCATTACAGTTTTTTCTTGCTTATTTTATTTCATGGTCATTGATCATAGCATTTCAGACACCCCTGCAAAGGGCTAGTCGGCCTCCTTTCCCCCCACTCCCTTCAGCATCTTTTCAAATGACTAACAGGAGAAAAGGCACCTGCAGGGAAAGAATATGCTTTCAGCAGGAACAAAAGGGAGAAGAGGGAAGTGTTTTTATCAGTGAAAGTTATTGCATTTCTGTAATTCTGAGGTTTGAATCAGTTCTGTGAAATTCTGCTTCTTTGTGATTGTTCCTTTGTATTTTCTTCCTCCCTGTAAATTTTTGTTTTTTCTTTGCTGCTTTTCTGGTAATTAGAGGAGTGGTTCAATCAAGGTGAGTCTTTCCAGTACTTTTTTTCTAACATTGTCATCATCTCCTTCATTCACCTTTTACATAAAAGGGCAAGGGCTGGCACAGAAGCCTTGTTCACCCCACCCCGCAGCGCACCTCAGCTACGTGCTGTTCATTGCTACTGCTCTCACCTGGAGGCCTAGTTTGATTCAGGGAGCTCTTCTAGTTTCGCTGGCGTGGTTTGGGAGGGGCTGATCTCAGTAAAGAAAAAAGGGCCATGGTCACCTGGGGTGCAGACCCACCAAGTGAAGAAGTCTGTACTAGGGACGTTTGCCAAAAATTCACATGGGGTTACATAAGGCCAGGGTTGCCTCATTGGGCCCAATAGAGGGCAATAGGGTATGTCTATATGGGAGAATGAAATCATGATTGTAAAAGGTGCTACCTATGTTTGGCTGAACTAGCTGAATTGAGTTAACAGCAGCTGTGAAGGCACGGTGACGTGAAGTTCAGTGTGCTAGCAAGCCGAGTACAAATTCTGTAGGGAGAGTAGGGACCATGGGTGTTAGTACATGGTGAAGTCCATGCTACCTTATCTTTACTGCTGATGGGATGGAGGATAACTAGATTAATATTGCATGTGCTACAGTCACACTTTCCTTTTGCTGTGCAGAGATATCCGTAGTCTAATGGTTTGAGAATTGGGCTGAGAGCCAGAAACCATTATGTTCTAATCCCAGCTCCTCACCCTCTCCATTGGATGTCCTAGGCAAGTCACTTCATTTACAGGAGCAAAATGAGGATGGTACTTACCCGCCTCACCTGGTAGCTGTGAGGATTAGTTAGGTTGCGTAGTGCCCTGAAGATGAAAAGTTGTATTATCTTTGATGCCATTGATGGGAATGGATGGGTTCCAGCTGATGGCCTCTGAGAGTCGCTGCAGGTGTGATGACAGATGGCCATTAAAACAAAAAGCCAAGCAGCGCTGGCCCAGCAGCAGGGCTCTTCCCTGCCAGCAGAGAGGTCCCGGATTCCAGTTCCCCGTTCCACCCGCCCGTGTGGCAGGGGAGCGTTGCCCCCGCAGCGCTCAGCCCCTGGGAGAGCCTAGCGCCTCGTGTTGCTTAACTGAGATCTTTTTGAGCTGAAGAATTAGCAGCACAGTACTGACTGCCTCTAAATGGCCTTCTTCCTTTCCAGTTCTGTCATCCAGAAAAAGGATGGCTGGGATTTAGCCCTTGAGAAGAGAAGGATGTAAAATGGAAAGGGGAAATGAGGTATCCTTTCGGCTTGTGCAGTAAAGCAGGGAGCTGTGAAATATTAGTCATATTTAATATTGAAATCTTTCGCAGGCTTTTGACCCAGTAAGAATGACAGTAAATGAGCCCGGGGACAGTATATTTGATCTTTTCTTGTGTGGCAGGAGAAGGGGCTAAAGAAGCTTTAATTTAACAGTTACCAAGATTGTAAATCATTTATTACACAAGCAAGTGTCCTGTCAGGCTGCTTTCCCGCACCAGAGCACTGTGCCAGCTCCTACAGCCAGGCCCCATAAAGCAGACCTGTCAGCAGCCACGCTCAAAACTGTCTGTCTTTTGGCAAAGTTCTGCGTTGGGCTTCTGATCTGACAATCTCTTCTTTCCTCTAGTGGATATCCGGGAGGGGAAGCGCGTGGGAGGAGGAAAAAATCCATAAGCACAAAACTGTTGCTTTAAAACTTTTTGTTGTCCTCTGCCAGCGGGATCGTTAGCTATCCCTTGCCACTGTGAATGTCACTGCAGGCTCCACTGGATTTGTGAGAGGCTTCAGGCTGCCCTGTGTAGAGCTGGCACTGAGCTCATCTCATTGTAAATTAGATGAGCATCAGCTGGGAGTTAGACTGATGTCACCCTTTGTTTTTCATGAAATAGTGACTGGGTATCAAAATGGGTAAAGTGAGTCGCATTGTTTGAAGGTGTTGTGGCTGCCATTGGAAGGCAACTGAAAGCAACACAACTCAGAGTGTAACAGTGGACCTCCACACCCCCATATGCACTCCCCCTCCTAAATCCTCCCTTAAATCTCAGGCTTCTGCCTCTTAATCAACTCCTCCCTAATAGGAAAAGAGACCCCGGGTATTTAGATGCCTCATGGCATGACCCAAGTGTCCCCAGTCCTAGGTCTGGCTTGGCCAAGGGAGAGAAATGATTTCTGGAGTTGACTTGACTCCAGTGGGCTGCCAGCTGCTCGCTGCAGGATGGCATGGGAAGTGAAGCTGTGACCTAGAGGCACACCAGGGAGGGGCATCAGAGGGGAAAGCCTGAAACTTAAATCTTGCCTGGAAATCAAATGGCCATTGGAAAAGATCACAGAGCGCAGGTGAAAGGTACTGCCCGTGTGGCATGCTGCTTAATAAACAGGCAAAAGCATTCCGCATTTCTTGTATTAAAGGTTTTGCAGCCTCCCGTACTCCCTTCGTGTCACATGCAGCATAATATCAGTGCTTTCAAAGGTCATGCACAAATGCATTGTACTTGAAGTGAATAAACAATTCAACTGCTGATGCACGAGAAGCAACGGCATGCAGCTCGGTCTCTCGCTGTGCTGACTCAACTCTGCCGGCCCAGCCCGAGTAACACTGCCAAACTTTAAGCCAACAGGGCTTTCAACGGGGAGCTGATCTGTTGAGGAAGGTGCCATTTTGACAGCACCATTTCACAGCAAAGCTGCCCTGAGCCTGGAACTGCCTGGTGACAAACGCACAGGTTTTTGGCCTGCAGAAAAATGATGCCCTGGCCCAAGTCATGGAGATCAGATGGAGGCAAGTTCCTCTGCCTGCCTTAAGATCTCATCTTTTCCAGATGGTCATTTTACTCCTGCTTTCACAACCCCTCTTTCCCTCTGTCATGGGAATATTTTTTCTCTGCTCTAAGCAGTGACAGGGCTTTGCAGCCAAACAGCCCAGTTCAGCTGTCATCATGAAAAGTAGCTTCCTTGCACAATGCCTGACATTTTGTCTTCCTCTGCTTGTCCCTAGCTCCCCAAGCAACAGATTACAGGGTTTTTTCCAGAGCCCAAGAATTAGTGGTGGCCCAAAGCCCTCACTCTTATTCCCATCTCTCATTTTAGGAAAGATATCTTTCAAGAGGAATGGAATAAAATGTGCCTGTGTGACCTTTTGGCAGATTAGAAAACAGGCTTTTCCATATGTTGCAACAAAGGAGGCACTTCAAGCTTGATGAAGCTTTAGTTGTATGTTTTTAGTGCCTTTGAACAAAAGGGGATAGCCGCGTGCCATGGTGGAGGGGCAAATGCAAGATGGGGCACGTTGGATTTGGGCAGCAGTTGTCATTCTCTAAGGGTCTAATACAGCTGCCTTGGGGTAAATGGAAAAGTTCGCTCGCTGGGAGTTGGATCAGGACCTAAATGAAGCTGCTACTTTATTCTGGACAAACTTGTATGGCAAATGTGTGATGCTTCTTGCATTTCAGACCAATAGGCCTTTCCCATTTCATGACCTGGTCCTACACCAAAGCTTAGCTGTTCACTACATTACATTTTCAAGTGCTTTGCCCTGTATGTTTTTAAATGTCCCAAGTGATGGAGCTTCCAGCCTTTCAGGTGGAAGATTGTTCCACAGCCCCACAGACCTACTGTCAAGAAGTTTCCTTCTAACTTATTCTTAATTATATGGTGCTGAATCCTTTCCTGTTGTTCCTAATTACACTCTTTGTACCACCTTAAATAATTTCTTTCCCATCCTGTTGATAACATATTTTGAAATGTAATTAGCCTGTCCTCACCTTTACTTAAAACCTTACCACAGCTAAACTGCATATAAGGTGCACTATTTTTTTCAAAAGCCACCTGTCCTCTCTCTCTTTCTTTAATATGTGCCTTCAGTTAGTTAATGCTGTCCTGAAGGCCTGGACAGATGAAACGGCTATGATAATGAACCGTGGAGTGAAGGGGAAGCCTTACTGTGGTTCAGCTGAATCCACTGTAAGTGTTTCATCAGTTTGATTTATCCCATGGTAAGTAGAAATGGAACTGCAGTAATCACCACTTGTTTCATTCAGTGGTAGACCACTGCAGTTGAGCTTTACTTTCTTCAGGATAGGAGCAGACAGACGTAACAGTTACAATGGATCAGCTCACACAAGTTTCCACCATGCTATAAGTCTTCATCTGTTCACACCCTGGACTCCAAACAATATCCAAAAACAGTTGACCCCAAGCAAATGTGATTCCTCTGTCCTTTTTAGCAAGGGGGAGGGAGAGGGAATGTCTGAAAATTAGACCTTCCTTTTCCTTTGCTATTTTTCAGACCCTTGAATTCAAAGCCTACCTTTCTTTTGCAAGCAAGCACTCAGCATTGGTTTTGCTTTACCTTCTTTTTTTTAAATTAAACTTCCTTTAGATTAAAGCTAATGTAATGGTTTGAAACTGTCCATATTCCTCACCAAAGCATTAGAAAATACAGTCATTTCCCTTAGTTTCTTATAAGCAGCCAAAATTACACTTTATTGATTGAAGGGCAAATTAAGGTTAAGTTATTTGCTGTCCTCTGTGCAATATATTAAACCCAGGCCTTCCTGCCTGACTGTTGCCTTGAAGACAGCCAGTGAAAAGGGAGCCCATTGTCCTCTGTTCTGCACTGTAATTTGTGCCTCGTACATGCTTCAATCTAAAGCTGTTTGCTGGTAAAACCGCTAGTCAAGATGCATTTTCTGCTGAAAACCAAACAAGAAGCTTCATGCAGCTGAAAGCCATTTTAGGCAAGACATTTTATTTCAAAGGGCACAGTGCCGTGGACTTGCAAATGAGGAAAATCACTTGGCATTGAAGTTGACGAGCCTGAATCTTAGAGGTGCAGAGCACACCCACAGCCTGTTATATTGATCGGGAAGCAGAAATGCTCAGCCCCATTGCAAATTAACCCAGAAGATGTGGAAGTTTGTCCCTAAATCATTTAGGCAGAGTTCAAGTTGAATATATGCAAATAAAGGGGCTAGTTAATCATTTATAGCCTGAGTCTGTTACTTTCTTTAGCACTGTAGAAGCACATGACAGTGATTGATTTATCAGTGCACTAACATGCTTTACTATTTATTCTCCTATTTTATGTGCAGGAAAGAAGAACGGAGATTTGGACAGAAACTTTGATACACTTGATTTGCCCAAACGGTCTGAAACAGCTAAAGGTAACGTGCAGATTTGTGCATATGCTTTTGAAAATAAATCAGTGGGGAGATAAGGATTCTGCAAGAGACTGCAAAATGAGCTACGCCCTGTACAACTGCCTTCATTTCATGTTCGGCTAATCATAATAATAGATGAACGTCAGCGTGCTGCTTGTCTTCCACTGTGCGGTCCCCAGGGGATGATCTTATTGATTAAGCTGGCCAGAGGAGATAGTGGAAGCCCATCAGATGCAGTTTTGGATTGAAGTGTTTCTGTCAAAGAGAAAAAAAAAATGGATCAGCTCATAAAACATAATTTGTAGATTCCCCACACTAGAAACTCCCAGGGGGCTTTGTGTAAAGCAGGAGGTGAGGAATTGTTTTGTTCTGTTCTGTTTCTATGAGAGATCTTCTGCCCTTTCCTTACAACTGCCTACCTCTGGAAGCGCTGAGGTTCCTCGCTGTGTGAACCTAAGGTTGTTTGGGGAGGGTGGGTTAGATTTGCATCTTCCACTGCAGGTCAACTTTCTCCTGAGTACAGTAATTTCTCTGGCTGCAGTCAGCAGGGCCTGTGCCTTTCGACAACTTGCATAGTCCTGGAGGTCCTCAGAGATATTCTTTTGTACTGTGTATTTCAACTCTTGGCAGAAGTGAAATCTTTAGAAACAACATACACTTTCCACCTGCTGTGAATAGCGCCCTGTTTCAGCAGCAGTGTAGGCTGTGATGTGGGGAGCTCCTCAGATTTTTGCTGCAGCGTACAATCCTGTGCAAGCCTCAAGCTTTTCTTTAAAGTCAAAGTTGGTGTTTTGGTAGCAAAGATCCAGCCATTTCCATGGAAACTGATTTAATGCCATCCTGATATCCCATCCTCGGAGGTGGTTCAAGCACCTACATTGAACTCCTTCAAGAGAAAATTGGATGCTTATCTTGCTGGGATCCTATGACCCCAGCTGACTTCCTGCTCTTTGGGCGGGGGGCTGGACTTGATGATCTTCCGAGGTCCCTTCCAGCCCTAATGTCTATGAAATCCTAACAGGAAACTTTCTTCTGTAGACACCCTTCACCTGAATGAACTGCGACTGCCACAAGCTAGTTGGGTCTAAATGAAAATACAAATATACCCAAACCCATACTCTCATTTCCTTTCAAAACATAAGGCAGTGAAATGTAAAAAAAAAGTCACTTATATAGAATCATAGAAGTAGGGTCGGAAGTAGATCTTCAGGTCCGACCCCCTGCCTGGGCGGGAGAAAAGACTGGGCTCAAATGAGTCCAGCCAGGTAGTCATCAAGCCTCTTCTTAAAGATCCCCAGGGTAGGAGCCAGCACCACTTCCC